CTTCTCTTTGTGTCCCAGCTCAGACAGTGCAGGGAGAGAAAGCTGGATGTGGGATTTCAACGCTAATCTCCCTACCAGATGGCAAAACATCCCATATTCCTTTTGAGGTTCCCCCACGTGATTCCCTGTGTTAGGGCTGGATGTGTGTGTAGGAGAGAGAGAGAGAGAGAGAGAGAGAGAGAGAGAGAGAGAGAGAGAGAGAGAGAGAGAGAGAGAGAGAGAGAGAGAGAGAGAGAGAGAGAGATGGGGGGTGTATATGAGCTCACACAAAAAAATGATGATTGTCTCACGTGACACGCGTGCGTATGCTAATAAGAGCAGTAACGTCACATTAATCCAGTGACCTGGTTAAGCCCTCGACTGAAGGAAGCGAGTAAGAGAGGGAGGGGAAGCTGTCAGAGCAGGGGAAGGGAGACAAAAGCGCACTCCCTCTGCCTCCTGCACACCCTCACACACTCATTCACCTCCGGAGCGTCAGACTGGAGCTGAGCAGGGCAGAATGGAAAGTGTTTTAACGCAGAGAGAAGCCGAAGCAGAGAGAGGCACATAAGGACTGGAGTGGGAGTTCTCCACATCACGCACTTCCTTCGATCATAACACACCCACACGTCAGGCTGGACGGGACGGCGAGAACATCCACTTCACACACTCGCACACATGCTCACACACACACAGAGACTCAAACTCTGGAGCGTACCATGGTGGCCCAGGGAGCCGTGACGCCCGGGAGAACCCGCCGGCTGATGCTGAAGCTGCCGGTGGGGACTCTGCGTAGGAACAGTGGGGAGAGGGTAAGACATCAAGTCCTCACTTTCTCCTTTAACTTTGCCTGTGTTTGGCTGTGCCATTGTGTATTTGAGCATGTGTGTGTGTGTGTGTGTGTGTGTGAGGGAGAGGGACTTTTAAAGCTTGGCTAATCCAGGGAGCAGTATTAGATTTGAGTTGGTGGAAGTCAAGAGCAAAGCTTTTAATCTCTACGATGGACAATACTTCCCAGTGCTCTGTCCCTGTCAGTGTGTGTCTGTCGCCCAGTGTATCCCACTGCCATGCCTTGCTTCAAGGTTACAGGGAAGTCTCTCTGTGGGAGAGCTCTTTTTTGAGTCACTGTCGGGGGCAATTCAAGCAACTCCAGCCATTTAATAGCATTCTTTTTATCAACCCAAACCACTCAGCCTCGAGTTTAACTTGTTTGACATGTTTAATTTAGACCTTTCTTTTTCTGCTGAGCTAAAGTGAGTTTGTTGGGCTTTAGTGTATTCTTCTTTTTTTTTTTTTTGTAATTCAAGTGGGTGTGCACCAAAGGTTAGAGATAATAGTTAAGCTTTAGGTGAGGAATGTGCTTTTCAGATGATGTTTAGTTTTAAGGACAAGCTGTAACCTGCAGCAAGATTCAGGCCCATTTTTACACTTGTTTACACCGTCAAATAGCAAAGCATCCGCGTGTGTGTGTGTGTGTGTGTGTGTGTGTGTGTGTGTGTGTGTGTGTGTGTGTGTGTGTGTGTGTGTGTGTGTGTGTGTGTGTGTGTGTGTGTGTGTGTGTGTGTGTGTGTGTGTGTGTGTGTGTGTGTGTGTGTGTGTGTGTGTGTGTGTGTGAATAGAAAAGGATTTGCAGCTGTGTGTGTGTTTCCCCTCAGAGCATTCATTCTGTGATGCACGTCAGCCGGCGTTCTTTCATGTTGTAAATACTGGAATTAAGTGAATCCGACTTGAGCACAGTGTGTGTGTCCAGGTGATGAGCGATTCAGGCTTGCTGTACTTCAAATCACAAGGAGTTTTATCTCCCTTTTATCTGACTGATACACGGTGATGTGTCTTCATCCTTTACCTCTGAGTCATTTCTAAGAATTGTGGTTCTTTTGAGAACTGTGTCTTTGCAGCGTACTCCATAGAGGATGCATTTGTACTGGCGAGCATACTTACATATTCTCATAACTCACACAGCTCGGAAGAATGTTATGCTTTCATTTTAATAAGTTCGGCCACAGAGATGCCCTCCCTCTCTGCATCCTTCTTAAAGACAACGTAAACTGTGCTGCTGCTCAGTGTGTGCTGAAAACAACTTAGATTATGTTCCTGTGTGCAGAAATATGACTAAATCTGCCCAGCTGTCCTTTTGGAGTGATGGAAAACTAAATAGTCACTCTCCTATTGTGAGAAGTAATTTCTGCTGAAACCAAACACACACACACACACACACACACACACACACACACACACAATTACTCAAACCACCCTAATTAATGGAGAAGAGCAGATTTTTACATGCAGGATGGAAGGGGGGGTCCCACTCTACCCTGATTGCACTCCCTTTCCCCTGCCTCCTCACATTTTTCTTGCAACCAGCTGTGTGCAGACAGATTGGAAAGTGGCGATTTACATAAACTTGTGGGGTTTTTTTTGCAGAAAAGCTGACAAGAATCTGTAGACATGCCTTGACGAGGTGTGCAGGAAAAATAATTTCACAATTATTGGCCACAAATAAAGAATTTTTAAAACTATT